GCCCAAAAATTCACTCCCACGTCAGAACTCTAAAATGTCAGTTGTTAATTAAATTAATTTGCCTCTTAGAACCACAACAAAAGCCTGTGACAGAGAAAGGTTTGTGATCTACAAAGAAAGAGTGAGAGGGGAGGGAACTTCATTGACATGAGCTCTTCCACCTTCACCAGGCCATGGGAGCGACATCAAACCATCCCTCCGGCCCCTCGCTAATCAAGCCATTGCAGATTGCACATGGGCAGATAGCCAAATCACAAATCCTACCCAAACTTAATTATGGGTCACATTTTAACCCTTCATAAATTCTTGTTTAATAAACCACCATAGGGCTCTGAAAAACATGCTTATTTGGTTAAAAGTCAGAATCTTTCCAGTGTGTATTTTAATTTATTTTCCTCTATAACATGAATGCCCTTAGGAATGCTATATGGAGAGACACTGTCCAATTTGCATGTTAATTACTTTTTAACATAGTCATTAATACCCAGGCTGGATTTGTTGTGGGGGGGTGGGGGAGGGGAGATGGTTGTATGCATGCATACAACTCTATTAATACCTGTAGAACAACATGCAGTCCCACAAGAAGCACACTACTTTTTACCAGCATCTCGTGTTTGAATGAGACTGTATAAGTTTAATGCTGTTTAATTGTAATGGTGTTTTTCATCAGAAAAAGAGATCCAAGTCTTTCAGCCTTCACCCTGACCATTTCAGTCTGGATAACTGCAAGGCTCTGCCCCAAGTGGATGAGTGGCCTATTTTACAAGTGATAGGCCTAATCCTTCCATGATTAAGCAGCTACCCTGCACCTTATGCTATGGAGGTAGGAGTTCTTGATGCCTGGCACTAGTTCTCTCCGTCTCATCTCAACAGAGTGACCTTTGCTCTGTTCTCTATTTCTTCTTCCAGTGCTCCAGATCCCTCTTCCGTCGCTCCTAGACGTGCTGGGCCATCAGCATGCACTGTAAGCTTAAGAGAGAAGGGGAATAAGAGCACTCCCAACGAAGAGCTCTGAGGAATGAGAACCCCATCCCACCTCTATTACAGGAGCACAACCTGGCCTCCAGCTCAGGCTCTGCTGTTCAGCAGCCTTTACAGTGCACACAGGCTCAGCAGCTTGCTGTTTATAATACATGCTTACTATCTTCCGTTACCGGGAACAGGCTTATTGATCTTCTCTTGACTTTTGGTTTAGAAGTGAGAAGTACAGGCCCTTCAAGGTACAGGTACTTCAAGAAGTACACCGAGCTGGCACTTGTAGGTCTAGGCTCCTCCTGGTGGAAATTCACTGGCTTCCTGGCTGGGATGCCTCAGCTGTTTTAAGGCTCTGGAGTTTGAAGAGATCCCACTGCTGTAGAGATCCCCTGTCCCTCCCCCACCATGTAGCCTTTCCTTCTGAGAACTGAAACACACGGTGAAACTGCCCATCCTCCCCAGCTCAAGAACTGACTTCATAGATCCACAGTTAAACACATCCTCTCCCACAACTCACCCCTGAAGGTTTGAGCCTTCTGGTTTAATAGCCAGTTTGCTCAGAAGTATGTTTGATGCAAAGAGACACCTAGATATGGGCTTTGCATATAATGACTCGGCACACCATGGCTAGAGGCAAAAATTCTGGTGGACGATAGATCTCTTTTATTGGATCAGCTGCTCCAATAGGAAATCATTCACAAGAATTCTTTTCTCTCTCATATCTCATCTGGACCCATAGGTACAGGGAGAAAATATTATTGGTCGGGGGGCCAGAGTACACACACACATACACCCCCCATACCAGATAAGTCTGTAGTGGACCCCAGGCCGGGTTGTGGGACAGTCGGAACCCAGGCAGCTCATCCGGGGGGGTCCTGCTGCTGCCTGCACCCTGGGAGAGACATGGGGGGGCACATGCCCCCAAGATTTGTGCGTGGGACAGAGATGGGCTGCTGCTGTGGGCTGGGGCTCTGTGCCCTGCTGCTGTTGCCGTTGCCTCAAGAGCCGCACGCAATGCCACATGCTTGCTGGGGCCAGGCAGGCCGGGGATGGCATGTAGTATATTGTGTGGCTCTCAAGGCAACACCAGCACTGTGCAGAGCCCTGCCCATTCTGTTGCCCCTCGCTCCCAAGCCACAGCATCCCTTCCCCCACCAGCCCTGCCACTGTCCCTCACTCCTGACCCACAGACCCCAGGCCTGCCAGTGCCCCTCGCTCCCAAACTGCAGTACCCTGCCCCCCCTGGGCCATGCTGGTTCCCCTCACTCCTGACTAGCAGCCCCTTGCTCCCTCACAGCCCTGCTGGTGCCCCTCACTCCTGACCTGCAGACCCCTGCTCCTAACAGCCCCACCAGAGGGGCCCCAGCTGCCCCTGTCCTGACTAGGCTGGAGTGCAGTGGCTTGGAGCAAGTCCAGCTCCAGAGCAGGCTGGAAAGAAGAGGAGGGAAGGCTTGTGGCACCCTCCACCCTAGGCTTGGGGCTGCCACACCACACCAGGAAGCCTGGCCATGGGCCACCTTCCCCTCTCCCCTGCATCATCTGGCCACTCTGCCCCTGCAAGCACGGACACCGGCCCCTGTGCTGCTGGCTTGGCCATGGCCCTTAAAAGGCCCCTTCATCCACTGGAAGGGGCAGATACCCCCTGCCCTGCTGCAGCCCCGGCTACCCCCCAACCTAGACTTACCTGGCTGCAGCTTCTGGGGTGAGTGGAGGTGTACTTACCTGCCTGCAGCTTCCTGCCTACAATTGCCCCTCCCCCTGATCCCACCTGCAGAGTAAAGCAAAAAACCCAGACATTTTCTCAAATAAATTTGACAAATCCACCTGAATAGAGATAGGAGGACTCAAAAAAAGGACATGGTTACCCCGCCTAGGTGTATGGTAACCCTAGCCAGGCTGTGATCCAGCTTAGCAGTTTCTTCTCTTAGGTGACCTCCAATGAGCTCCAAAAGGTGACTCTTCCAGGTGATTTCATTACTAGGCAGTCTCTCTCCTGATGGACCTTTTCTCCTGGCTAGCATCTAACCCACTGTTTTAAGCAATTACATGTCAATGTAAGAGCACTTAAGTCAAAGACTGTCTACTGTAAACCCTGTGCTAATAATTTCTAGAGGAAATTTAGTCCAAGAGGGAAGTAAAATGGCAGCAGAAATTAAAGAGTATTCTGACAGTCAAACTGGATTTTGCAAGACTGACAGGTAGATGCAGGATTCATTACCTGGGAGAGAGGACCATTGGGTTCTGATCCCCTCACTAAAGGTTGCTTGGAGGGGTGCTGCTTGTTTGCTTTTACCATCTTCTTAATGTAGGTTGCATAAACTGCCTTTAAGTGGAATGCATTTTGGGAGCAGAGTCTCTCCATCCATCCAGCGTTAGGGCACTCCTTTACAAAGTATGAGATGTAGCTATGAACCTCTGCAGGTTGAGGAGGGAATTGACTCTGGGTCTGCCACCCCCTATGCCAAGGACGGGCAATGATTTCAGGTGAAGGGCTGCTTACCAAGTTTTGGCAAGCTGTTGAAGGCTGCATTTTCCTCTCCAGTGCAGGGAAGCAGGAACAGCCCCACGGTCCCAGGCCAGAAGCCTCTGCTAGCTAGGGGCTTCTGGTTGGGGGGGAAGGGCTGGGGGGGCCTTGCTGCTGGGTCCTGCCACTAGCTTCCCCTGGGTACTAATGCCCTTGGCTCCTGTCAACTTTGACAGGCAGCCAGGATCAAATAAATATTAATTTTCTACTTTTGGGGGGGCCCCCGCGGGCCAGATAGAATGGCCTGGTGACCCGGATCTGGGCCCCAGGCTGTATTTTGCCTAGCCCTGCCCTATGCTCTAACTACTTGGCAAACCTATAAAAAGCAAACCATGCTACACCCACCCCTTCCTGGGGTTTTGTTTTTTTTTTTTATTTTGGGGGGGTTTTTTTAAGAAAGCAATGAGGAACCTGCTTTTGTCCACATCTGTTTGGTGTGCGCTGAGAAAGGTTAGGACACTATAAACATAACCAGTGACAGCCTAGGGCAAGACATGTTCTGTTCCAAAGAGGAAAGTTTCCAATGTAAGAAAACAACATAGAAAAGCATAACATGTTTCTGTCTTCTCAGAGAAGCAAACAGTTGTGTGATGTCTTAAAGTGGATCTGTTTTGTTCTGTCAAAGCACATACAGCCTTGTGTCATGATAAATTTAGGGGACAAAACCATGAGCCATGTAAATCGGTGACTAAACCCTCTGTTCATACCTGATGTGTTCCCTTTGTAGCTAGCATGATATAAATTCATTTTTAAAGCTGCTTGCAGAGCAGATGCTACAACTGTAAAGTTATAGTTGGGAAAACTGCAAAAAAAGGGTAAACCAAAAACATGAGACTTCCACAAAACCTGATATGAAGAGCAGAGCATTTTCTTGTTATTTTCTGTAATTCACTAAAAAGGATTTACATGGCATGCAGCAGAAGAAAGCCTAGCATATTCCTGTTGAAGGCAGGATGGCTTGGTTACTCAGATGCTGGACCTAAGCTCGTGACATCCAGTTTGAATGACCAGCTCTTTCTGCATGTCTTCAGGCAAACCACTTACTTACTGTCTTTCTGCTTCAGTTCCCATCTCTAATATAAGAATAATATTAAATATTCCCTTCTCTCAGCCTTCATCTTACGCCTGTTAGATTGTACACTCTCAAGGCAGGGATTGTCTCTTACTGTTTTTATAGGCTGTGCCTGGAACAGTGAGGAGGCCCTGATCTTGCCTGGGATCTCTAGCTGTTCCTGTAATACACACAATACACTATAATAATAACAGTTCTGTTAGTGCATGAGAAACAAAAAGTGAAACTAATTTTAATCAAATACAAATTTAAGTTAAAGTAGCCAGGCTATTTCCTTGGTCTTGATGAGTGAAATTAACAGGGGGCAGGGGGGATCTTTTGCTTGTCTTGATCTGAGGCAATGGTATTAACACAGGGGAGGAAACAGTTATATTCATTTTTATCTTGACAGAGCTAGTATTAATGCTTTCTTTTACCGTATCCCAACAGGTATCACTGTGGATAAATATGGATTCATCTACTTTGTTGATGGTACCATGATTCGGAAAATTGATGAGAATGGTGTGATCACAACAATAATTGGTTCAAATGGTCTCACATCAACACAACCGTTGAGCTGTGACTCCGGAATGGATATCACTCAGGTAGACACTTGCATTGTTACTGTTCAGCACATCATAGAAATGGATAACTATTTTCTCCTGAAGAAATTAGGCATAAAAGGTACCCAGTGAATCAGTTAACACTGAATGGCATAAGCTTTCACCCATATTTTCTAACACAGCAGTTGTCTGTGGTAGTGTAGAAAGCATCCATTGAAATTATTATTATAAAGTTAAGTTAAGCAACGAGCTATGGCGCTATAGCATCTAAAAACTGCCTGCTGCTGGGACTGCACAGTACCAATGGGTACTGCATGGTCATTTAGTACTTGCTAAATGACCATACAGTACCTAATGTGCAGTCGGGGGCACATGTCAACGTGCCCACTGAAGAGCATTGCTGGAAGTAGTTGCAAAATAGCAGTATGATAGAGAATAGAGAAGCTGCAGCCTATTTGGAACAATTTTCAGAGTGCTTTTCAGGTCTTTTTCCAAGGACAATGTAACACAAATTAAAGAGACGCGCACACTTTTTCCCCTATCCAATCTGTTTTTTAAAAAGCTAGAAAGAAAACAAAAAAATAGAATATTGAATACTTAATGGGTAGCAGCTCTAAAAGCTATTTGGTGCCGCTCAGGGTGTGCTTATTCAGTAGTGGCTGCGAAATGAAGTGAAAGTTTGTTGGCTTCAGACAGACATGAAGGGATTTCAAGTAACTCAGTGCAATTGCTTTATGGGTTATGAGTGCTGTTGTTCTTGTTGCTGTTTTCCCCATCTATTTTAATGCTCTGCCATTGAAAACCACAATTGAAATATGCTAAGTTCATCAGATCTAAGCTGTGTCTAATTTCTAACAGGAATTTTAATGGTAAGAAGTTGGCTTGAGGCTGATAGGAGCTTCATGTATGTAAAGGATGTGGGATTGGTGTCCTTGTTTGTGCACACTAAGCTTTACTGTGAAGCCACAATGGTGTCCCAGAGGGAAAGGACTTAAGCACCTGATTGCCACTATCAGTAAAGTGTAATGCCATAAGTTTTGTATGTATTATTATTGGAGCAGAGATTGGAGCCCAGGTCTCCTTTCTCCCAAGTGAGCTGGACTAACGAGTCATTCTCTCTGGTCCAGTCAATAATTATTCCACACAAAGCAGAGTAGCTTGAATATACAAGTTGATAACAGCCCTCCCAACAATCCCTTATAGGCTGGTGGGTAAACCCAGAGGCATAACAAGCAGTTTTTGCACACTGGGAAGCAATGCAGACAGCGCAGTGGTAGTGGCTTGACCAGTCACAGCAGTCTTGCAACCCTTTTAAATAGGTGTCCAAGGCTGGTGTCCACGTCCATACTCTTACATACACTACTGCTTAAGCCTGGATATTAAGTAAGAGTATGGATTCAAAAAGGAAGGGAAGGGAGTTGAATCAGATCCTCAAATATCCTGTGATTGCTAAATTAGTGGGTAAAAGTGTTGCCTCTACCCTTACCAAGTCCTTCAGTTGTCTTTCATGGAAAAACACTGGCCCAGGCATCTCACTCCAAAAGAAAGCACAGTCCTGTGAATCCCAATGCCAAGAGAGGCACTACCATCCAAGCCAAAAGTTAGACACTAGAGTGGGCTTGGAGCATTTTCACTCTTTCCTACTAGCTAGAACGTGAAGCAGTGTTAAAGTCAGAGTGTGCTGTGAGAAGTTGTACATTAAGGGTTAATACAGTTTCTTGCCTGCATGCCTGACTTGCCACTAGAGGTCTGGCAAGCAGGGACATGGCTGGGAGCCAGGACACCTGGGCTCTATCCCTGCTTGGAGAAGCGGGGGCGGGCATGAGCAGTGCATCCTGGGATATTGGAAGATTGCAGATTGCTCATTTTATTTCCTTAGAGCTGACTGAAGCTACCCTTACATGAGCTAGGTAGTACAACCTAGATATAACCCTCACCTGAAGCAGTGTAATTTTGAATTGTTCAGAGAACACTTAGCACAAGTTAATGAGCTTTAATGTGCATATGCTTATGTTTTCAATGTTGTTGGTATGGTGTAAGTGTAATGTATAACTTCACTCTAACTTTCCTAACTCAGGGCTATAGACAGTATACCTAAAAGATAAGCTTCACTCTGCTTAAGTCCTTTTGTGAGTTTACCTCTGCTTATGGCTGAAAAACCCATGTAAAGACGAGAAAACAGTCTTCCAAACCAGAGCTCTTGCTATACCAAGGGAAGGTTTTGCTCTCACTAAACACAGAAGTGTCAGGGTTCCTTCTACAAAACTGGTGGATGTCCCAAGATGCACAGGGACTTTCTGTTACCTCTGGAGTCCCAGGCCTTTGCATACCTGCCTCTGCCTCACCTTTGCAAAGGCAGGGGTGGAAGTCAGGCAGATATTGGCTGCCATCTCCATGACTACACAGTAGCAGTCAAGAAACAAGATCTTTGGGGAGTTAATGCTGCCTGGAGCATATTTTAGCCGCTCCTTGGATACATATAACAACTGCCTGCAGCACAGGTGTAGCATTAGCTACCAGATGAGATATCTCTGAGGTGTAGGGAATCATAGCAGGCAGAAAGCCAGCTCCCTGGGCACCTCGTTTCCCCACCCTGGATCTGGAGCTGTGTGAATAATGGATTGATTGAAAGATAAATAGATGATTGTTTCAGGTCGACCTAGGATGAAAATGTTGCAGAAAAATAAGTCATTTCAGGTCAGACAAAATGTTTTCCTTGATATGAAGTGTTGCTTGGGAGTTTTGATCCTTTTAAGACTTTTCTTAATTTAAATTTAAAATGCTGTTTCAAAATGAACAATCACAAAGTTTAATCTTGAAAAAGTGGAGACAAAATGTTTTGTTTGTTCAAGAATATATTACATGGCCAAAACTGTTTGCCAGGTTTTACCCATGTTTATGAATGTTTTGTTCTGCCAAAATCACATTCCATGGAGGATAAATCGTTTGCCAAAAAAGTCACTCGGGTCCATCTGGCTCTAGGTGGAGCCCCAGCCCAATGGAGCTCAGGCGGAGGGGACCGCTACAAAATCCCGAGTAGGAAAAAGCACTCCACGGTGCTCGCTGCTTTCTGTTCTGTGCTCAGCCCCCGCATTCAAACAGATTTAGCTCCTTTCCTTTTTTTGGAAGCAGAAGGGAAGACGACTTTCAGGAAATAAATCCAGCAGGTTCCAGGTGATATTATAGAGAATCTGTGTGGATGGGGGAGTTCCTCACCGCATGTTTATCGTCACATCATTTTTCAATAGCTACAACTATATACAGGCTTTTTGCACAGACTGGGACAAATTTAAGATAAATGGAGACTGGGTCCCCATAAATATTCCAGACATTGGTAAGAAATGGTGGAGCCCCATAGGTATCTTATTTAGAAAAAGTAAAATCTTATTCATAAAAAGTAAGCAGGAGATCTCAGCCTTTTTTTTTTTCCCCTTTTTCAACCACCAAAGTGAAATCTTGAATGAAACTAAAATTGAAAGTATCCAAATTAAAACACATTCTGTAAGTGCTATATCAAATCATAGATCAAAAAAACCCTGCAAACTGTATGTGCAGGGTTATGGAAGTGTCCCTTGCTTTTTTACAACTCATCACATTCATTTTCTCACAATATAGAGCCAAATAGTCTGTTAAATGAATGCAGCAAACTAAAAGTTCTGTCAGGCTATTGAACCAAATTCTACTTTCAGTCATGCTGGTGTACTCAGGAAATTATATGGAATAATTAAACCCCATTTATGTCATGTAAGTTATTCTTGAATTATAACAGTGCAACTGAGAGAAGGATTTTGTCTCCTTAATCGCAACCTTCTCTCGGATACATCCTTGCAACTCCATTGACTCTTATGAGGTGACATAGGTACAACACACAGCAGAATTTGGCCCATCAACTACCTTAAATTGCCTTTGGCTATATCTCAAATTGCATTTACATCAAGAGCGTGTGGTTTGTTCACAAACCGTGTGTTTAGAGGAACTTATGAAATAGGTTAATAAAATCAACTCTAGAAGCTAAATTTGCTCTGACAATAAAATCAACGACTTGTTCAAAATCAATATTTTTTTGATTTACTGAAATACAAAACAGTATCCTTGGAATAAACACTTGGTATAACTGCCCATTGCACAGACCTCTGTAAATGACTAGAGCTTTCACTTTAATAGGTGAGTTTATTAGGAAAGGGTTGAGTCATTTATTTCAATACCGGTTTTGACAGAAACACGTCTTATAGATCACTGAGTACTTGTTTCTTACTACCATCTCATACTGACCATAGCATTATTATTCTGCATTTGTAAGGAAAAAGAAAGCTTGGGTTGAGCAGATTGAATGGTGTAATGATAAATAAATAAACAGTTGCTAGTTAATCACTTCCATTTTCCCCTGACATTGTTATTCTGGGTTTGTAAGGAAGAGGAGATTCAACTGAGCCAATCATATGGCGCTGTGGATTCGATAGCCTCTTCTCTTTGCAGAACTTGGTTGATCACAACACAAGACAAATCACTTTAGCTTTCTTAGTCTAGTTATTAAAGGCAGCCTCTAAAAAAGCTTAGGACGAGGTAGTCATGTGATCAGCACCCCCAGTTGGAAACAGTACATCCAAGGATATCTGCCAGATTGTCTAAAGTGATCAGCAGCTTTCACTGCAATGCTAGTGGTAAGATTTTTCAAATGAGCCCAATGCGCTGGATTAATCTGAACACCTGCGTGTATAATTTGGTGCATAATTGAGAGCTGAGCTTTGTTGAAAACCTTGCTCCAATGGGAGATGCTATCTACATTTGACAATTTGGCTCTAATTGGCCTTTTTCTAATAGCAGAAGATATTGCAGTTAGAGCACTGCTTCTGAAAAGTCTGGATTTTAAGCATCAGAAATGTTCCTGATTACACCTGAAGCACATCAGATGAGCTAATTGGGGAAGATTTATATATGCGATTCTGCTTTCACTTACACCTGTGTTACATGGTTATAATTCAGCATAATTACTGCTGATTTACACCAGCATATATGAAAGACCCCCATCTCGTACTTGAATA